AAAAAAAAAAAAAAAAAAAAAAGAAAAAGTTAGGTGTAAAAGAAGTGATCAACGTGTGGTGAGGCCCATCTTGGCCATGTCATCCTGTGACAGCAATTCTGGCACTAACCTGGGAGTTAATGCTGCAAGTACCGAGCTTTGGATGAGCATCTTTTCCAGCTTGCGGTCTGAATGGATGCTTTTTTCAGATGGAAACGTTTGATTTTTGTATTTTTGTTTGTTTGTTTCTTGTGCCTAACTGACCTCTTTGTGACGATGTAACACAAGTAGAAGCGGGTGAAGGCGTAATGGAATAGCAATGTGACCGACTTCATGCAGCTTCTTGCTGTAACAAAAGGACACCTAGTTCAGCATGAAATATTTATCGTGGCACAGCTGCCTGTACATGAGCGCTATGGGAATGAAAGGGGTGAAGCAGGAGGAGGAAGTTGGATATTAGTGGGAAAACACTACGAGAAAACTGAGGCTTGACATATTTTAATAAATCTTCTTGCAGGGGAGCTGATGATGAGCCTCCTGTGGTATTACAGACCGGAGCACACTCAGGGAGGCCGCAATCCCAGTATGCACCAGGTGAGCCATCCGAATGCGAAACTCGGGGCGAGGGTATCCTGGCATGTCTGTATTTCTGCAGGAAGAGGGGATTAGCCCGAGTAGCTCCCTGCGTTCCTGGGTGGCCTCAAACTCGGAGGGCTGAGCTTCTCTTTTGAGTAAGATGGAGCTGTCTCTTGGCTGTGATGCAGCTGTTGCCAGATGTGTTGAGTGGTGGTGTCCTATATATGGGCTTTTCCCCTATTTATTGTCGTGTAGAAACTCTGGGCTGTAACAGAAGCTGCTGCGTTCTTTACGTGGCCGCCTCTGTGTAAGCCTTAATGTTTCTCCCCTTAATCTGAGAAAATGCTGTGCGTTAAGTGAAAAGTTGTTTTGCCTGCTGCCTTAGGAGTAAGGAGGAGTGAGTTTGTACTGAATCGAGATCAGACGCCTTTCCAAAAAGGGTATTCTAATTCACCCAGAAACGCAGAGCTCAGTGCAAAAGCTCCTGCTGCAGTTCTGCAGGACATTGGAGTACCTATATCGTGTGCTGCCTTTTTATCATAAATCCTTTAATCTGCTTCCTAAACTCCAGAAACTTGTTTGGTTTGTGCAGAAACGTGGATGCATCATCCTTCCCCTGTACAGATTTATGATGAGAATTAGACCCACTCGAGGATGTTGTGCCAGTATAATAGAGTTCACTTTTTAAAAGGAAAAATGTGTGAATCATTATGACTTCACACCTTGCTCTGCTTTGCATGGGCTTGTGTTGGGTGACAGAACAAGCTGTTTTTAAACTGGGGATGGAGAATTTACTGCTGTTTTCAACCCACCAAAATACTCGGTGCCTTTTTTCCTTTTTTTACCCCTTTTAATAAAAGGGGAGGGAGGGGGTGAGAGCAGGACGGGGGGACAGCCGGGGAATTGTACCTGCCTGACTTGCAGGGCATGGATGAGTTTCTAAACCAAAATGTCCTACCTTGTAGGTTTCTGGTCCATAAATGAAGTGTGACTCTAGCCGGTTGCATCGTAGTGTAGAGAGCGCCAGTAGTCTGGCCAGGAGGAATTAAGCCAGTTTTTTGCACACCTGCTTAATTACACAAGACTTCAAATGGGAGAGTGCCATTTGGGCTGAGTAGCTGGGATGGGCTTGCCAAAGATGACTCAGATAGTTTTGATTTAAGGAGTAGACCAAAACCCCAACGTGCAGAAGCAAGGTGTGCCACTTTCAGTTTCTCTGATTAAGCAAGTCCCCAAACGGTGACCCTTTTGTGAGTCTTTCCTTCCAGCCTCCTTCCTCGGGGCTGTGAGCAGAAACAAAGCCTGCAGGTAATTGTGCAGAGCATCCTTATTCCCAGAGATCATCTTTGCTGATCTAACCACACCTGAAATTCCTTCAAATGGCTCCATCTGGGTTGCCCCATATCTAACCAATCCTGCCTGCTGCAGAGCCAAGTTTCCTAAATTACCCTGGGAAAAAAGGCTATTGCTACTTCCCTCACTAAACCAGCCTTTTTAATTGAATTGGGATGAGGAAAGGGTTGGAAAAGAAGGGATTCCTTTAGCTTTGATATAGAGATGGATTAGAAAGACTGGTTGTGTGTCAAAGGGTAGTAGTAAAGACAGCAAAGTGCTATACAACTTCCATTTCAATTCTTAGCTGTACAAATGAATTGGAAGGGTTTCCAGCACAGGAAAACGAATGAAGAACATTCCTAGGAGCTCAGAGGAATGTGTGGGTGGGGAGTGCTCCGACCTCCTGCCTGCAGGAGCAGTGCTCACCGGGTTTTCTGGATGCGGTCTGAAGGCTTCTTCCACGTGGAGTCTGCACAAAGTCAGATTTTGGATAAGCTGGAGCGAAGGCACCTCTTGGAGGGGTTTTTCTCTTTCTGAGCTTCTGCAGTACCTCCCGTGATGGACCCAGCCTTCCTCCCTCTTACCTGTCTCGTTGTCATGCCCAGGCATCGCAGTAGCGCTTTCAAAATGCTGCTTTTGTTTTTTCCAGTGCAGCATTGCAAAAGCTCGTCTCCTGGGACACTTCTCAGCGGCGGCTACAAGCTGTCTGTCATCCCCAGGAGGAAGGAGGAGGCTGAGTGGTGTAGCTGGTAGTGGCCTTGCTGCTGAAGTGCTTTTGTAACGTTGGCAGTATGTGTGGGATTTGGACACTTGGCCTCACGAATTGTGCTGGGCAGTGTTAAACGATGGGAGAACTCTTAATGCTTTGCTCCCGTGTCGCTGGATAAAATTCTGGTGCGCACTATAGATAGGTCCCAAAACACCTGGAAGATGTCTGGATTATGTGAAATACTGGCTCTAAAGAGTATCTGCTATGAGCATGCTTTGATGGACTCCCCTTTAAGGTGATGGCTGAAGGTGTGGAGCTGGCCCTACCTCCCTGGGGCTCCTGGCCAGCTGGGTGACCTCTTCCTTCCTTCTCTTGCAGAATGAGATCTTTGCATCCCGGCATCAGGACGAAAACAGTGTTGCCTGCATAGAGGAGAAATGCTACGTGCTGACCTTTGCAGAGTACTGCAGGTAGGTGGTGCTCTTAACTTGCTGCTGTCCCCGAGACCTTCATCTGTCTCAACTTCTTGTCACTCTTTCCATTTCCAACCATCACCCAGCAGGACTGTCCCAGCCCTACAGACTTTGGTCTAGCTGGAGCTGGATGAATTACACTCACTCTACGTACGAGTTCGGTACTGCAGTCTGCGAGTGCTGCTTCCACTCTAGATTCATTACGCGTCTGTTTTGTGTAATACATGTGTTTTAAGGGGCTCACCAATGTTTGTATTTGTATGACCTTGGTACCACAGCATGTGGACGTCAGTGGAGGACAGTGCAGGAAAACTCATAACTTGGAGCTAAAAACTAAGCAAGGCAGGAGATCATCCTGTACGTCTATCCCCTGTGGTACACGGGTGCCATAGCTAGCCAGAAAGCCTGCTGATGTACTTCTGTCAGTGTTGCTACTAGACACTAGTGTATGCGCTCGCAGATCTGGGTGTTTTGGCAGCAGCATCACTCGGCGTAGTGACTAAGGCTTTTACTGTTAAGCTCTTGCTGATTGAAATGAAACTTTGTCAGTAAGAACTTCCGAGCATCCGTATTCAAGACTGCCATCCTTCGATGGATGGATGGATGCGCAGGGCAGAATGAAAATAGGGGTTGAATGGACACACAAATGCATAATGCAAAATAGTGCTTTAAATCTCTTCCGTTTTGCTGGGTGAATCTTGTTGACTGTGCAGGCTTACTACGGAGGGGATGTTTAAGCCCTAATGCAATCTTAGTCCTCCTGCTCCTAGCCTAGGGTTCTGCTGTTTGAATTTCTAAAAACAAACTGTTTTACAAACTCTTTATAAGCTGAATTTTGCTCTTTCTTTTGAAAACTCTAAAAAAAACCCCAACCCCCCCCCAAAAACGAAAACCCAACCCAGAAAAACCCCAAACAAACAAAAAAAAAACCCCTGAGCTTTGGATCCAAACAGCTCATTGCCTTTCCAACAGCCCATTGGAAAGCTGTTGGCAGGAATTTTTTCGTGCTGTTGTGGGTAAGGTCACCTTTGAGAGATGTTCCCTGAAGGCATCCTGAATTCTTTGTTTGCCTAAACAACAGCCTGATGCATAAGCGTTTTCTGGGGCTAATTAACAGCAACGAGGCCGAAGCAGTGAAAGCCAGGTGGATTAATTGCAGTCATCTTTCGTGCTGTATGGCATCCACCAGTACAGACATGTAAACCGTGGTGCTGCTTCCTACAGTTCAGGGTGGGATCAAAAGCAATAGCTACTTCACGTCCTCCTCTTGGGCAAAGCTTAATTCTCCTCTGCGCTCCTCCCCTTCCCCTTCCACCCCTTATCCTTGGGCAGCCACGGTTGTGGCTTCCAGCGAGACAGACTGACGCAAAGAGTGGAAGATGAAACGAGTTTGTGCTAACCCTTCTCATGTAATTGCGTTGCAGATTTTGTGCCTTGGCAAAGCGTCGAGTCGAAGGGATCCCAGGCAGGAAAACCATTATGGTTCCTCCCTCGGAAGAGTACTCCACACCTCTGCACCGCAAGGTGCCCGAGGACACTGACCCTGAGCTGGTTTTCCTCTGTCGTCACGTCTATGACTTCAGACACGGGCGCATCTTGAAGAACCCACAGTAGCACCATTCTTCAGTCGGACCGCGGTGAGGATGAGCGGCACCGGAGAGCCGACGGCAGGCTGACGGTCTGGGACATCTGTGCACTCTCGACGACTTACCTTGTGCTGCTTGCAGACGAGAGCGCCCAGCGCTCTTTCCTCAGACTGAAAAGTGTGTGCGGGAGCAGATCCCTGTGGAGGAAGGCAGCAGTTGAAAGCACAGCACTTCATTAAAAGCATAAATGAAAATATATACGTATAAAATAAATATATGTATATAGATATAGGTACTTGCATATGTAAATCTATATCTATATATGTATCTAGAGATGCATATATTGGGAGGGGTTTGCAGGGGATAAAAGCCAGTAAACTGAATCCAGAGCCATCGCTGGTGGGAATGGTGGAAAGGTGCAGGAGGGATGCTTTGGTGCATTGTATGAGACAAGCTGTGACAGTTCTGTGGTTTTCGTGCCCTGATGTGAATCGTGAGGACTGAGACGAGTTCCTTGGCAGAGCACAGGAGAGTCTCCTTTGTCCCGCAGGACAGACTGTGAGGATTCCCGGTGGGTGAGAGCTGCTTCAAAATACAACCGTTGCTTTGGAAGCTGCCTGGATGCAGAGTGGCCTTGTGTCATGCTCGAGTAGGTTTTGCTCCGTCAGGGGAAGAGGTGACCCCTGTTTTCCATCATCTTCCTCTTCCCCTCACCTTGCTGTTCTGTGATTCACTGCCTGGACTGAGGCTTGGCAGCCAGGCTTGGAAATCTGCTCCACCGCAGAGCAGAGAGGGAGCCGGCAGGATCGTAGGCTTTACGTCCCAGTGCAGTGTTACGGAGAGCTGTGCGTCTGTCGCAGATGCCCTGACCTTGCCCCAAAGGGTCTCGTGCCCCGTGAAGCACAGCGCCAGCAGGCGTGCGTTGCTCTGAGGCTGGGAGCGCACAGTGGGCTCCACTGGTGAGAGCCATGTTTTCTCTTCTCTTCCGAGTATTGCTCTTCCTCTAATGGCTTAGGGGGCCATAGCGATAGAAGTGGGTTTACTCTTTCTTCCCCGTTTGTTTTCCTGTAATGTCATTTACAGTCCCTGTTTAACCCCATACGTCTTCAGTGTGAAGAAGCTAGAGGCTGGAGGGTGAAATGGCAAACCTTTTTCTTAAGTGTTTTTGGCTTTCTTAAATTTTAACCCCCCTCCCCTTAAGCGACTGTCCTGACCCTGGGCGTACTGTTGAAGCCATCAGCGGTGCTGTCTCAGCGCTGCCTTGCAGCCTCGCCCCCTCCAAACTCATCCTGGTGTCCGAGCAAGCTCACCAAAGTGGCTTTGTGGCTCCTGAAAGGAACTGAGCATTGGGAGAGGTTCGCATCAACAAAGGTGACCCGAGCCCCACGGATACTGCCTCTTGCCTTACGTGTATAGATCCTAGATAGACGTAGTTTATCTTAATGCAAACTGTTGGAGTTTAATTCTAAAGCAAACCAAAGGACAGCCTAACAGTCCGTTGAGTCACTCACGCCAAGCTGGGAGTCCGTTTCTAGATTGCACTAACGTAAAGAAGGAGAATCAACACCGTCCCGGCCCACGTTCCCGCTGGCTGGAGTCGCTCATTGAAACTAGGGATCTACATTTTTCCGGTCTTTTGGGGCTTCTGAACTCATGTTAAATAGCGGAATTGTTCCTACTGCTTTAATGTTGTCCTGTCAGTGGAAGTAGCACAACCTCTACGCCCCGCGGACGCCGGCACGATGGGAACGGAGGGCTTGTTGGCTTGCTCCGACGGCTGCACGCCTGCCTGGCCTGGAGAGAAAACCCCGCGGCATCAAATCCGTTACATGGGAATAGTTTAACGCAGGAGTTCTCCAGAGATGGCATCAAATCCGTTACATGGGAATAGTTTGTTAACGCAGGAGTTCTCCAGAGACTTGCTCTACATACCAAAGAGGGGAACGTGTCTAGAAGACGGATGACTTGAGAGGAGATGACAAGATCTGGCACCTGCCGCAGTGGGCGAGCAGGGCACGCGTCTCCCTGCTGTCGGTGGACGATTCCTGCTCAGTGTTGCAGAGGATGCTGGAAAAGCCCTATTTATTCTTGCCTGCGTGGCCCAGGGGAAAACACCCAGCTCCAGGAGGTCTGATCGTAGGTGTGCAAGCAAGAATTTGTGGGTGAAGCATCTTATCTCATTTATACCTCAAGATACTGTTAGTGTCAAAGTAATTGCTCAGATTTCTCCTTAACAATTAACTTGGGCACTGGTGGTCTCTTGGAACGATGCGGTTGGGCTGCCGATACGGTGGTGCGGTATCGGGACGGGAGTCGGGAGCGCTTCTGGGGCTCTTGGATGAAAGTGCCACGGGGGCACAAGGAGGTGTTGGAGGAAGTGGTCTCTGATGCTACTGGGAGAGGATATTAAGTGGCTCCCCTCCTTAGCAGGGAGGGAGGATGCTGGAGAAGCGGAGCTGCTCCTGCCCATCGCAAAAGAGGGGATTGTGGCTGCCCAGCGCGGCAGGGCAGAGCAGTGCGGGAGGGGAACGGGGCAGCTACACCCGGGGGCTGTGGCGCACGACGGTGGCGTGGAAGGTGACGGGAAGCCCTAAATGCACACGCTTGACTCGGTAGGGACTCCTTTGACACCCAGCCTGAAGCAGGCAAGCTGCCTGCGGCCGCCTTCCTCTAGCAAAAGTGCCATCAGATGCAGGATGCTTCAAGACCCACCTGCCAGGCAAACCCTGAGCATTGCTGCACAGTCAGGGAAGGGTTTGAAACCCAGCCTTGGAAACCACAGTAACTCGCTGAAACTCCTCCTTCCGACCCCTCTCCCCCGGCTCCCACCTTTGTCCTGGCTCCTCTCTGGGTAGAAGAGAAATTGTACTTGCCCTGGGTCCGGAACGGGCTTTGGCCCCTGTCTGGAGAGGACAAATCCTGACTCTTCTCATGTTAGAATCTGCTTCAGGCCAAGAACATTGTTCAAGATTCACGTGGTTGCTTATGCTGTTGTGCAAACAGCATGTAAATGAATTGAAATGTCTTATCCATAATGAAAATATTTCATGCTTTTTTAATCTATTAGATATGGAAATATTTTTTGAAACTGAAAATGCAGTCGGTAGAATTTAAATTGAAACGTAATACATGTAAAATATATTTTAGTTGATAATTTTGTAAAATGCACTTTTTTGTGTCTCTTCCCCGGTTTCCCAGATCTGTATTTCAGTGTTTACAGACGGAATGAGAACATTCCCTATACCCTCCTTCTGTGAGAAAGATATATTAGAAGTAATTCTTAAAAAATAAATTTGAAAAATCGTATTGATTTAGAAAACAAACCAGTGCTGCGCTGTTCTTCTCTTCCTTGCCTGAAGTTTCCACTCGGACCCGTTGGGGTGCAGGAGTTAGAAGTGCTTGGAAGGTGCCAATGTGGGAGCAGACTTGGGTGCTCAGGGTCTTGGGGTGAGCGATCTGGACGCAGCCCAGAGATGAGCTACTGTGGGGTTTTCCAGAGAAAATGGAGCAAGTGGGAGGAGGATCAGCTGGGGGGCTGACTTCTTTTTTTTCCGATCTGCTCTTGAAGCTGCTGTCAGGAATATTTAAGTCTCTGCCTTTCAGGCAGGGAAGGTGTCGGTGGCAAAGCTTGTCTCTGCAAGGTTTGGTGTATCAGCCCGTGCTTTAGGAACCCTGGAAGGAAGCGTTTTGAAATGTTGCTTTTGGAAAAGCATCTCATGTGGAGCGCTGTCTCTGGAAGCCAGCTGACAGCTCGCTTGGTGGCATTGCCATCAGCTTCTGCCATCAGAGTGTCCCGGCCCCGTGGCACCAAGCGCTACACACACACCGAGGACAGGTCCGACAGCCGTGCAGTCCACACGGACATCCCAAAAAGGCAAGGAGGAGCCCAAGTGGGAGCAAGAGCGGAGAGGAATAAAATAACCTGCTTGAAATCGTGCAGCGGGGTCAGCACCTCCGTGAGGAATGGGAGCTGGGTTGCCCGATGGAAATGTCTGCATTTAAACACAGGTGAGAACTGTCTGCCGGTGCTGAGCTCGGGGTGCTTACAGCGAGTGGCAGGTCTTGGGGTGCAAGGCCAAAGCTGCTGGCACGCGCAAGAGGCGTGCAAAAGGATTACAAGTGCTCTTTCACACTCCTCGGTGAGAACAGCTTACATGGTCCCTGGATGGCGGCACGGCTGTTTCCCACGCAGTCCCTAGCAGTTGCTCCTCTGGAGCTGTCTCGCAGGCTCTGCGCTACTGCTCGATGAGCAAAAAGGCTTTTTCAAGGTTTCCTTCATAGCACTTGAGTGAATGCGGGGAGTTCTCCACCTGCAAGGGAATCTCTCCTTAACAATAAAACAACTTCTGTAAAGCTCCCCACGTATCTGGGAACCGTCTGGTCCAGCCTTGCTCCCTTGGCTGTAGTTAACTTTGTGTTCTGACTGTCTTACCTGTTTTCTGCAGCACTAACTGAAGACTTAACGATTTCTAGCTGCCTCCCAGTTTCCAGGAAAGGCTCCTCTTAGGCTTTCATGATTTTCACTCCCTGCTGAGATGGTGGTTGCTGCTTCCTGGGGCTGTGGCCCCTCTTCTGGTGCTGCCTGTGCTCGTGCTGGGGGTGCTCGGCATGGGCAGGGAAGGGTCCCCTTGCAGGCTGCTCTGCTGGGGTATCAGGGAATTCACCCCGAAACAGCGGTGACCTTGGTAAGGGCTTGGTGCCCTTCCCATGACCAGGCTGTGCTGAGCATCCGCACGTGGGTGGGCGCCGAGGGGTGGGGAGGCGATGTGGTTTAGTTCCTGGCTGGGCAGCTGGCCCTTGGAATTGGCTATTTCCATAAATAATGCCATGTATTAATTAGAGCTGGACCCTTGCACGCCTGGGGAGGGAGAGAATGAGTTCTGGGAACAAAATGAGCAGGAAGAAAAAGTAATGTCTGTTACCAACGCTGAATTGGCTCCTAATTATAGAGAGGAGAGTGAGTGGCAGGGGTGGTTTGTGGGATGAATGCAGATGGGCTGGGCATGGCAACTGCATCCTTAACGCATGCCTCGGGTCCCAGGTTGTCGTCTCGTCGACCCGGGGAGCGGTGCAGCCGCAGAACTGGGTTTTGCAGCAGCAGAACTGGGTTTTGCAGCATCTTTCACTCCTGGATCGCCTTGAACAGGAGATCTTGAGATTGTCCCATCACGGGAGCAGGGCACGGGTGCAGGGAGCTGGGTCTGCTGCTCTCAAGCCGCTTTAATCACTGTCCCCTTGCAGCCCTGCCAGCATCGTAGCCTGTTTTTAAGTTCCTGGTTGGAATTCTTCATGGGATTAGGGTTTTT